GGCGCGCGGGGCCGCGCCGCCTCCTGCGTGCTGCAGTGCTGCCGTTTTTCTACTGTCGTTTCTCGCTTCGTTACCAAAAGGGGTTTTCTGGGAAGCGAAATAGGGTCGTATAACCCAAGTCCAGGCTCTAGTTATTAAACGTGGTCCTGTAGGTGCACAAGGGCATAATAACCCCGCTGTAGGCTTTTTCTTGTAACCCGTTAATCAGTGCCTGTTCATTTCTCGAGGGACAAGGCCAGATCCAGCCACCAGTCTGGGCTTGGCCTTGAACTGAGCTGTTTTGCACATCTTTTTGCCTTAAACCTCAGTTAACCATCCCTGCTATCATCGCACTGCCCCTGTCCCTCTGCCCTGGCCAGGCCCCTGCGCTGCTGCATTTTGCTGGTAGCCCCGTGCCTGGGTAGCCCCAGAGGCTGCTTGGCAAGAGGCAAATGAGGCTTCCCGTGTCCATGTCGTGTTTCCTGGGCATTGGGTGGCTGCCGCAGCTTGGAGCTGGGTTTGCCATTCCCTCTGTCGGAGATGAGCTGCAGGTGGGCTGTGACTCCAAAGCTGATCCATATGGGCCTGCCCTGGCCCTCCTTCATCCCGTGGGCTGCCTGAGAAGCAGATCAGATCCACGTTAGCTGCTACCAGCAAATATGCTCTCTTAAAACTGCTTTGTTTCTTTTGTTATCCTTCGAGGAGCTGGAAGAACACACGTTGTCTGTGGGTGGCATTTGTATTAGAGCTCTCTTGTCCACAACATGATTGGAAGGGAGAAGAGAGGCAGATTTTAACATAGTCAATCCCATTCTAGTTTGGTAAGAAATCTGTAGAGGCTTGGAGCCTTCAGCAGAAGACTCAGGAGTCTGAAATATGAAAAGATTTAGAGGGACTAAATAAGGAATTGTACTTTCCTCTTGTCGGTTGCCACCAAGAAGCTGATATTGTGCATTAAGTAGGAGAAAGCATTTGTCAGTGAAAAGCCCTGAACACCCTTTACTACTGTCCAGCCTTCTGGAAGGATCATCAACTTTTTTTCTGAGTGTGTATGAAAGTTTTGGAAATGGATAGGAGAAGGAAGAGGATGTAGCCAAATAGGGCTCCGAGCCTGTTGTTGTGCTAGTTTGCTGTGAAGGTCTGCTGCTAACAGCACTTCCCAGGGTGAGCAACGCTGCTGTCACCTACATCTTGTGGTTGCAGTGGGTCGTTGGGTCCTAAATTCGGTCTGAGCTGTAGGTGTGATTACTCACACATCCTGCTCACCTCTTCATCCGCATGAACTGGCCGTGCTGCTAAATCCCCCTGACTTCCCTTGTCTCTTCCAGGAACCTGTGTGAAGTGCAGCAAAGGAGTGTACGGAGCCAGCCAGGCCTGCCAGGCCATGGGCAACCTCTACCACGACGGCTGCTTCACCTGCGGAGCCTGCAGTAAGTGCTGCCTTGTCCGCGTGGCCATCCTTGTGGATCAATGTTTTGTATGTCTTCCAAAAAAAAAAAAAAAAAAAAAGGATGTGGTTATTCTGGCAGATGGAGTTTGCTTCAGCTGTGTGCCTTTGTGGTGGTGTTCAGTGTTTGTTTTTGAATAGATTCTTGCAAAGCATTTAGAAAAGATGCTTTGGATTATGCCTGCCTTCAGCTTTCTGGTATGAGGGACAGCTATTTTCATTCTTTTCTGTCTCAACGTAGCCACATTTCCTTATTTATGAGAGTATTTTTTTTAAAGTGGCAATAAATATGCTTTAACTGGCATTTAGTTTTTGTTACTTGGCCAGTTAGACTTCAAAGCCCTCACAACCTGTGAGTCCAAAAGAGAGACACGACTGTGAACCCTTTCTTCATCAGTGTGGGCTTGCCAGAGGTGTGCAGCCGCAGCTCTGTGAAAGCAAGATGCACCTTTTTGGAGGGGGAGGCAGTTTTCCTCTCACTTCGATTAATTCTGTCTCAGCTGAGTCACTGTGAGGTGGCAGCCAGCTCGGCTAGTTTAATGTAAAAAGCTGGTGCCTAATTTAGTGTCCAAAAGTCCTGTCAGAGAGTGGTTTATCTGCCTGCGTCAGACATTGGTTTTAGGATGTGGCTCCCTCTCTGCAAAGGGTGCCAGGACGGGCAGCTCAGACCAAGAGCCTGTTTCCTAGCTGGCGTGGTGAGGTTGATCCTGCTGCATGTCTCCAGTATGAACATAGTGCTGGGTGCCGCTGCGCGCACAGCGTGCGGTGCAGAGACACACGTCTGACCTGGGTTTCTCTAACCCCCTGCTTGAGAGAAGCTGCCTGGTGAAACATACTGGGTGCTGCAATGACTGACCTGGGCGCCTGCAGGGTGCCAGAAATGAGGGCCTGCTGAAAGGGGAGGATGAGAGCAGTTTTATCTACAGACGTTGCTCACGTGTTGCCCACCTTCCTCACCTTGCTGGCCCCAGAGCAAGCACTATGGCTTTTTGTCACTGTTTTTATTTTATTGGATTTTTACTAGCTGTATTTGCTTTGTGCTTCTGAGGGGCTTCCTGCCAAAGCACTTACTAGCGCACTAAGTTACTCAAGCCACGTTACACACCTGGCTTTTTATTGCGTGAGCTGTGCAGACAGATACACCGAGCCACGGGGAGACCAGCAGCATGTCCCTGGCCGCTTGCTTTGAGCTGGGTTCTGTGCTGATACTCTGTGAAGGGGAGCAGGGACGGCTCTGCAAAGCCTGCCCACAAAGCCTATGAAACAGTTAAAAGAGCCTGGCGCGGCCTCACGCCGCTTCCCATACCCGAGGGGTGGTGTGAAGCTTGCCCAAGTGCAGAGCCTGCCCCAGCGTATGAATTCTCCCCAGTGGCTTTTCAAGGAGGCCTGTGATGGAGCCAGGGTGAGCACCTGCGTCTCCTGGTTCCAGTCTTGGCTGTGCTGGTAACACAGACGTTTTTGTATTCTGTTGTGCTAACTCTGGAGGTGGTGGCATGTTTTTAGAAATGTAGCTTTATATCTGGCAGTAGTAAAAAATAATAATAATCCGTCTGTTTATTTGCGCATATCAGTTTGGCTTTCCAAGATGAACTCATTTTTTCTTTCTGTGTTGTATGTAAAATTGTAAACTCATCAGGACTGCAAGGGAATGTGTTTTATTTGGAGCTGTAGGTGGGAGCAAATATAGAAAGGTGCATGCGCTATTTAATCATAGCTGAACCTCGAACTCTCCCTGTTTCCGAGCTGCCCAACAATGAGTGCCTTCCCTCACCTATGTTTTCAGAAGGGCCTTTCCCTGTCATGTGACTGAAGACAGGAAAACTGAAAGAAAAGGGGTGTTTTCAGGTGACAGCAATTTCCTAGAGGCCCAGAAGTCAGCAGGTTGCTGCTTTGTCTCACCCAAGTTATTGTGAGCTCTTTTCCCGCAGAGAGAATTTGTAGCTCCATCCCAGGGCTTGGCTGCAGGGACTTTTTACCCTTTGCGTTCAGGAAGCCTCCAAACTGCCCTTCCCCACCAGCCTCCTGTTAAAAATAATTCAACAGCTGATTCAAGCTGTCTTAGGTTTCCAAAATTACTACTGTGCAATTGGTGCTATTTTACAGGTATTGAGAATACTATATATGTATATAATGTTCCCTCTATATATTTATATAGGCAAGTTGCGTGAGGTGAGGGGATGGACAGAAATCTTATTTTTTTTTTCAGCTTTTGTTTGCAGTGAGAGGAGCAATGGTGCTGGGGCTTGTGTCTGTAGCCAGTCGCCTGGGCACACGTGTGTGCACGTGGCTCCGCTGCTGGGAGCAAGACCTGGTGACATCCTGTGCATGGAAGGGGGACCATTTTATCCTTTTACCCAGGTGTGGGTTCGGGCAGAGCCCTGCTGGGGGATGTGGGGTTTTGTTTTCCCTTGCGTGCCTCCCAGGCGCCCCTTGGACGGCTCGCGCTGCGCCGAGGATACCTTCCAGGATGTGTTTGCCTCTTTCCTTTCCAACCCCATCGCTGGCAAGCGAACGAGAACAAGAAGGGCCATGCGATGCAGGCCGAGGAAGTGACTGCTCCCCTTCCCGCTCCGCTCCCGCGGTGGCTGGGAAGAGCAGAGGAAGGGCACCCCACACGGGGCGCGTTTCTGCGGGCGCCGCCGCGTCCTCCTCCCGGCCTCGCCGCCACCGCGGCCCAGCCGTGTTCGCACTGATGGTTACCTGCTGGTTTGACGTTGAGACCAGCTTTCTAGAATCTCCCGCAAATCGTTCCTAATTATATTAGAATCGAGAAAAACCCTCAGCGCTGCCGACAGCAGGTGTTACAGCTGTGTTTCAGCCTGTGGTGGAAGCTCCGTGTTGGCCTGTTTCTCCTGCCGGTGACGTTCCGAGGCGACGCTCCCAGTGACTTCCAGAGAGGCCGGCTCCAAGGCACCGCCCGCAGGCAAGCCTCCGCGCGCCCCGGG